TATATATATATATATATATATATATAGGGTGTAACCCGATCTAACACGGGTGTAACATATATACCCATATACACCCATGATTCGTGTTACACCCCCCCCCTCTCTCACACACACACTTGAATCACAGGGTTCTTCTCCCCACAGGCTGCTGTTTTCTTTTGAAAATTACTCTTAGGCCTCATTCACATGAGAAAAAGCCGGCATGTACAGCTGCTTGCACGGCTGTATCGGGCAGCTCCCGGGAAGGACAGGTGCTGCGTGTGATTAGTACGCAGCCCCTGTTTTTCTCTATGGGAGTAAGTGGCTATACTCCGCCCTACGCTCACCCCAAGTGCACGCCCATGCGGATGTCCGTACTCGTATGCCAACAGGATGGATCCTGTCTGAGTCGGGACACCCGCACCCGTATGGACCTGCACTGCAGATTTAGTGGATTTGTATTTGTGCTTTGATATTTGCTGGTGCCCTTTAATTCTCCTCCTTTTCTTTTTTCCTTTAGGTGAGCAAAATGGTAATCGCAATCCAGGTGGTCTGATGATTGGTGATCTTGTGAATATTGATCTAGAACTTGAAATTGTTCAGTCGTTGCAACATGGTCATGGGGGCTGGACTGATGGCATGTTTGAAACACTTACAACTACAGGCACTGTCTGTGGCATTGATGAAGATCATGATATTGTAGTACAGTACCCAAGTGGAAATAGGTAAGTGATGTCAGAATTTTACACTTAGCTTTTAAGGTATTAAAACAAAAGTGCTTCTCTGTTTCTTAGAACAAGCCTTTCAGTCTAACGTTTTAAAGGTCAAAAGCGCTGACCAACAGGTTACCTTTGTTAACAAGATATCTTCTGCTTTGCTCCCTTCTGAAACTGTTTTCAGTTTGTTACTAAGGATTTGATCTGACTTCAGGACCATCCCAGCCACAATGCCCCTGTGTAATAAGAGTGTCCTTGCGGGCTGCTAAGGCCCTCTGTTTGGATAAGGGGAAAGAAGATGGTTTCTCATGGTAGCAAAGACATGGAAGTCAAGTCCTTAGTATCAAATTAAAGTCAGGATGTGAGGACTGCACAGAAGAAGCTTTTTTTGACTAGTAAAGGTAATATGATCTGCTCTTAGGAAGGACTTTTAAAAGTTAAGAATTGGTGACAGGTCTGAGCTACATTTAGTTATATTGTAACCGTCTTCTTTCATGCATGCATTGTGGTGCCAAAATATACTCTGTTTTAAGATCAACAACAATAAATGTGTGATGTGCTTTTCCCTAATTATTTTTAGATGCAGGCTGACCAGCACTTTCTGACAGGTGGCTATTCTTTACAGCCAATTTCTGAACTAGCAGAAATGCACATTTGTAGTGCTCTATAGGCTGATCGATGAAGAGTTAAATATTCTTGTTGCTTATAGCAACCAGTTGTATGGTAATGGTACGGACTGGTTGCTATAAACAGTAAAAGCACTTTATCAGAGCACACTTCATAACCTACTTAAATTTAAATAAAAATCGGTTATCTGTGAGGTAACATACTGTAAAGATCCAAATATATTTTATGCGGTTTCCATTGGAAAGTGAGGTTTGAACTTGAGGTCTTCATCTCTTGTGTAGGAAGATTAACTCGTAAAATTTCACACTTGGTCAAATAATTTTAAAATTAGAGACTTGATTAAAAAGCTCCTAGAAGATTGGGAATTGATGGTAAAGGTCCCCAAACACCTGACGATTGTCGTACGATAGTCGCTGGTGATACCGCAATCGTTTGGTAATCGTAAGGTTGATGGGCAGCGTGCGACCGCATTTACTGTAAGGTCGTACGATTTTCCTAATAACGAGCACGCTACAAAACCTGCGGAAAATCGTACATTTTTCGGCGGGTTGGTATCGCAATCGCAAGACGCACAGCCCGAGTTGTCAAAGCGCACACTGCCCGCTCGCCATTGCAATCATCTGCAAGCCCTCCCCTCAGCGGGGAGGACTTGCGATGATCGCAAGTACGATATGCTTGTCCAAGATGGGACTTTCAATCACCATTGCACGCTGAAAGAGGTGCCCTGCCCCTTCCCGTCTGCAGTGTCTGACACATTCAGCCGTACTTGCACTGCGGGAGGGAGCTCAGGTCAGTGAGCCGATCGCGATCTACCAGTGTTCGCTTTGAAATCGACTGGTAGGTCACGATCGACCTAATGGGCACCCCTGGTCTATAACTAGGTGGTAATACAGGCTCCTTATCTTCCCTAAGAATTACTGTTATGTGAGCACTGAGCATTTCAGGAAAAGATAGGTTGCCGGAAGATAAATAGCATAAGAGCATAGATGTGGAAGGAAAATCTACTTAAACTCTTTATAGTCCAGTACTAAAAAACCATCAGGGCCTGGACTTTTTTTTTTATTGCATTATTCACTACAGCACAAAGAAATTCTGGTTTCTTCAAGCAATAAAGGATTAGCTCATTAGTAATTGGATAGCTTTTCACTACCAAGGTATCTATAAATTCTATTGAAACATTTCAGTTGTCATTCTTCACATTATAAAGATTTTGATTAAAGTCTTTAAAAAGCTCAGCTATGTCTTTTAGAGGTATGTACTTTTCTGCCCTTGCCATTAGCAGAACCTTATTTTTGTAGAGTAGACAAGGCCTTCTTTCCATTTTTGTATTGGGATATTTTGACTGGACTCCATGCCCCAGAGACACCACAGGAAGTATAAAGAGATCTTTCCAAACAGAGGGGTAATTGTTGCTTGGATGGTTGTCACTAGAACAATGTGACCCTATTGGGATATTTCGCTTCACCTACTACTGCTGTGATGGCAGTAATTTGTTGGATGTCCCATCATTTGCTGTCCTAGTGGCCAGAACATATACATGTACATATACAAGGACATATAGAGAAGAATAATCTCTCAAGCAGGGACACAGACGGCAATACAAACCCAACAGGGACACTTTTATAAATAATCAGCCTCGTGAGTGATGCATTGACCCATGTAAAGCGCTGTGCAAACTGTTGGCGCTATATAAATCCTGTATAATAATAATCCCCATACAACTACCACATCAGGGGGATCACTTGCCCCTCCAATTTAGATTGTAAGCTCTCATGAGCAGGGCCCTCCTTACCATCTTGTCTTGAATTGTATTGTGATTGTAATGTCTTCCTTATATTGTAAAGCGCTGTGTAAACTGTTGGCGCTATATAAATCATGTATAATAATAATAATAATGTTTGATGGCTTCTCTGTTGTAACAACAGATGATGCTTAGAAATAAACTAACACAAACCTCTTCCTACATATTGTCAATGGACTCTGGTTAAGGAGATTCCAGTGACAGACATAACATCAGAAGTTTACTCTGAGGTCAGTGAATGATTGCTTAACAGTTGGTTTAAGCTGCAATACCCTTTTGAAGTCATTTTTGTGACTACTCTTCTGTTTGTCTGCTGCAGTAGGTATTTCATGTTAAGCTTAAGCCCTCGTTCACACCTGAACGTTTTGTAGCGCGTTCTACGCTCGACGAACGCTCTACAAAACGCTCAAAAATATGAATCCCATTGTATTCAATGGTCTCGTTCCCACCTTGGCGTATTTCCGCCCGTCCCTAACGCGCTACAAAACGGCCCACGCCTGAAAAGGTACATGTACTACTTTGGGCCGTTTTGTTGCGCGTTTCCATTGGGATACAGCCAAGTAGCCTTCGGAAACCCGCGACGGTCGCGCGACTTTTTTTACCACGAATCGCGGTAAAAAAACGCGTGACAGACGCGCATATGCAATACGCCTAGGTGTGAACGAGACCTTACACATGTCTTAGTGTATATATAGCACCACAGACGTGCTATCATTTTTATGCAATTTGTATGCAATGATGGTGGTTGTAGTTTATATGTGCACAAAGTAAAAAAGGACTTAATAATATTTTGTAATGTAACTTTACTAATACAAAGATTTGATTTTTTTTTTAGGTGGACATTTAATCCAGCTGTTCTCACCAAAGCAAATGTTGTTCGAAGTGGTGATTCTGCACAAGGAGCTGAAGGAGGATCCTCGCAGTTTCAAGTGGGGGATCTAGTACAAATTTGTTATGATCTAGAGAGAATAAAGCTTCTTCAGAGAGGTCATGGAGAATGGGCTGAAGCCATGCTTCCTGTAAGATGCTTCTGTTCTAGTCTCTCTCTGTTATGTGACATTTACTGCCTGTGATTTTTGCTTGTTAGGCAGTTTATTTTTATTTTTTTGCTATTTTGCAATTACACATTGCTGTACAGAAATAACTAGGGTCATCAGCAAAGAAAGCTGCTAGTGTTTGAGCTGTCTGTAATGCTATATAAAAGTATGGTTAAAGGGAATGAGTAGTTTTTGTATATATATTTTTTCTATATATTCTACACACGTGCGCACAGGCTTTTTTTTTTTCTGTAGTCAGGGAAATTTGAATTATTGCATATAAATATCTCTTGTAGTTTTTCTCTCCAACCAGCAGATGGAGCTTTTGCATATTATATTTTCTTTTTTTCTTTTATCTCCTTTGTTGTTTATAACACTTAAAGCGGATATAAATTCACCTGCCATTGCTCCTTCACAGGTGCCGACATCTTAACCTGGTCTTCTTATGGGTTTGGGATCTTTGGCCATCTTAATTGGCATGGCTGGAAGGTAACTCTTGCGTGTGTGCACAGGAGTTCATTGCTTCTGTCACCGAGGTATGCAGAGAATGTACACTGAGCTGTGCAGCTCCGTGTATATTCTGAAGAAGATTGTGAACAGACAGGTACATTTGTTTAATAGCAGAAAATACTTAGATGTCTCTTCTGCAATAAAGAGACTGCTTGCCTGCCAATTAAGTTCCACTTTAAGAGCTCAGTTTGAAATTTATACACAAGTGAAGGAGTTACTCATTCCGGACAACTCCATCTGTTTTTGGCCATAGCTCTCTTCACAGGAGAACTTTTACTGATATCCTCCTGTCACCCAAAAATCAGCATATAGCAGGCTATTTCCCGCTATATGCTGACAGCGGAGAGCCGCACCACAACCTTAACAGGCTCTGACAATATTGTCAGGATCCACCCGCTGGCTGGCTGATTGACAGTCAGCGCTGGAGGATCGGCGAAGGGATAGAGGAATCCCTGCGGGGCGCGATGGCTGACAGTCACCACTCTCTGCAGGGAGACGATCGGGAACTCGGTAATCAGCTATAGTGTTCGCTGAGTTCTCGATCAATAGAGCCGACCTGTGACCGCTTCAATGTCACGGGTCAGCTTGAATTTTGGGGATGAGTGTATTTCACTCACCCGATAATTCTCCTTTATGGATGGTATACTGGTATTTCATAATGTTCATCTCGTATATCCACATTCAAGGCTGTATTCTATTATCATAAATGTACTGTGCACTTAGATCAGGGCTCAAAAAGTGGAAATTCAGTCAGGCACGCGGTCACGGATCGCGTACCTGACTATGAGAGCAGCCGCTCCTTGCTGTCCTGTCCTGGCTCCGTTACTTTTGATCGATCACCGGAGCTCTGACAGTTCTGAGCCCCGTTCGAAAGGATGGATTAGTAAGGTCTGCAGACCTTACTGCAGAGAACGGAGCTCAGAACTGCAGAGCTCCGGTCGAAAAGGAACGGAGCCAGGACAGGACAGCAAGGAGCGGCTGCTCTCATAGTCAGGTACGCGATCCCGGTCCGTACCTGACTTAATCACGAGGGATCAGATTACTTTATTCTGCCTTCAACATTAAAAAGTGTAATTTCATAAGATAATTTAAGAGGGTGGGTTTAGGGTGGGTTTAAGGCCGAGGCAGGGTTGGGGTTAGGTGGGGCAACTGGTGGCGAGTAACTCTTAAGGCCTGGCTAGTAGCTCAGGACTTGAAATTTTGAGCCCTGACTTAGATGAACACAAGTCTAGTAATGTTTCTGTTCCGTTACTAGCCAGCTCCTTGCTCTGGAGAAAATCTAGCCCTTACAATGGAAAAAAGACCAGAGGTTGTATTTGTTAAAATGGTCAGCTCCTTGATCTGATTCAGATGCCAGAGAAGAAAGATGGCCACACTGCATCAGAAAAACACACATTGCTGACATCTATAATTTTTTTTATGTCCTAATAGTTTTGCTTTTATTTTCCTAGTTAAATTACCAATTCATGGCGGTGTGAATTGTCTTACAGTTTTATTCCTTTTACCTAAATATGAGAGATTTTAATTTTTCCTTTCAGACCCTGGGAAAAGTTGGAAGAGTTCAGCAGATCTATTCAGACAGTGACCTAAAGGTAGAAGTTTGTGGAACTTCCTGGACATACAACCCAATTGCAGTTTCTAAAGTGGCCTCTGTTGGATCAGCAATAAGTAGTGCAACAGGCGGTATGTTTCACTTTTCTGTTTCCACATATGTTCAATTTTGTTAAATGTAAAAATGGCAGGAAGACTAAAACAAAATTTACCTAAAGTAAAATATCTGTGAATATAATTTTATGAAATTATGTACTTTTTTAGGATTTTATTACAGTTGTCAATATCTGGTAAATATGTATTGGTCAGACTGTTACAGCATGTGCCATTGTTATGTTCAGTGTTGTTAAGGGTCTTTGGTGATGACCTTTTTGCAGCCTTTTCCCAGTCCACAATATCAGAAACATTGAGTTAAACTGCCTTCAGCTACACAGAAGCAATTGTAGAATATCTTTTTTTTATTATTCTTCATTTTTAATTGTAAAGGTAATAATATGAACCAATCATGATTTTCATATATTGCTTGATGTTTTCATTTATTATTTTTTTTTTAGCACCTAAACAAAAACGAGCACTTAATGCTTGCATTGCGTGAGTAGCTCCACTGCAAGGGTCCATGCATGGGGAAGGGTAGAGCCTGTGTGAAGTATTTATTGTTATCTCCACATTGTCTTTCTTGAATACTGTCATCAGTACAGGAACCAGAAATAAAAACATATTCCCAATGATGATTTAGGTGTGATATTAAAAATTTGGTTCATTGAAGAGACATTAGGCTTTGTGATGGTTAGCAGAAGACTGATCACGAACATATTCAGTCTTTGGAATGCCGACATAATTCACATGCTGTTAGAAATTCAGTCATTTTTAGGTCCACAAATATCAGGAAAACCCTAATTTCCCTACCAGAGTCTAATGTCCCGTGATCATCAGCAAGACCTCTATTTGTGCTGGACACAATGCAAGCTGCTGTCTGTAAGTGGCCAGTTGTGTCACCACTTCTTGCATCATGACCCCAGTGCTGTAAGCTCTTGATGTTCAATACAGGACTCTTTGATAGTTGCTTCACAGCAAGTGTCCGTTTCTCTATGATGCGATGTGGGCACTGCTAGGACTGCCTAAAGCTGCTTTTCATGTGACTGCAGCTTAAGGTATGACATTTAGGGCTTCTAAATAAAATGTTTTTCAATCAAAATGACAGATTGCCCAAGAGTTATTAGAGTGGAAAACAAACTTGATTTTTCTCCCAAGCCCTAGTTCACTTTTAATGCATAGGAAGTTTGGAAAATGTCTGTGTAGCCTAGTGCTGATTGTGGTTTTGTCTGTAAAAACAAGGGAAATAAGCTTTCACAGTGTTTACTCCCCATCTGGTCATCAGTCAAGTCAGAAAGACAGCAGAGATTCCCAGAGGCGAGATTCAATAATAATATTATACAGGATTTATATAGCGCGAACAGTTTGTGCAGCGCTTTACAATATAAGGAAGGCATTACAATCACAATACAATTCAAGACAAGATGGTAAGGAAGGAGGGCTTACAATCTAAAATGGTGGAGGAAGTGATGCATGAGGAGGTAGCTGTGTGGGGATGAATTGTTTGAGGAAGTGATAGTTCAGTGGTTAGGTTGAGGTGGGATAGGTTTCCCTGAAGGGATGAGTCTTTATGGATCGCCTAAAGGCAGTCAGATTGGGAGATAGACGGACAGGTTGGGGTAGAGAGTTCCATAGGATGGGAGAGACGCTAGTGAATTCCTGGAGGCGAGCATGGGAGGAGTTGATGAGGGAGTTGGAAAGCAAGAGGTCTTTTGAAGAGCGTAGGGGACGGTTAGGGTGATATTTTGAGACAAGGTTTGAGATATAGCCGGGGGCAGAGTTGTGGATGGCTTTATATGTGATTGTTAATATTTTGAATTTTATCCTTTGGGCTATTGGAAACCAGTGTAGGGATTGGCAGAGGGGGGTTGCAGACACTGAGCGGTTGGTTGGGTGAATGAGTCTAGCAGCTGCATTCATGATAGACTGCAGGGGGGATAGCCTGTGTAGTGGAAGGCCAATGAGGAGGGAGTTGCAATAGTCAAGATGAGATATAACAAGTGTTGTGACATCCAGACTGATATGTCAGATAGTAGATTAGTGACATGCGAGGACACAAAAGGGATGAGTTGTGGAGTAGCAAGATAGATTTGAGTGTCATCGGCATAGAGATGGTATTGGAAGCCATGTGAGGTTATTAACTGACCAAGGGAGGTGGTGTAGATAGAGAAGAGAAGGGGTCCAAGGACAGAGCCCTGGGGGACCCCTACAGAAAGAGGAGGTGAGGAGTTAGATTTGTAGGTGACACTAAAGGAGCGCTCAGATAGGTAGCAGGTGAACCATGAGAGAGCAGAGTCTTGTAGGCCAAGCGACTGGAGTTTTTTGAGGAGGAGCAGGTGGTCCACAGTGTCAAAAGCAGCAGAAAGGTCTAATCGCAAGACTAAGGAATAGTGGCCATTGTTTTTAGCTGTTGGTAATTAGGTGGTTAGCATTAGATGGTCTCTTTGTATGTTCTCCATGAGGCATGTTCCTGTCTATGACCAGTCTATTTTAACACTTACCTTTCTTTTGCCTCCATAGAGAGATTATCCCAACTCTTGAAAAAATTGTTTGAAACACAAGAATCTGGTGATCTTAATGAAGAGCTTGTGAAAGCTGCTGCAAATGGCGATGTCGCTAAAGTGGAGGACTTGCTGAAGAAGCCAGATGTTGATGTGAGGAACTTTTCAGTTCTGTTGTATTGACTTTTGCTTATATGTAAACTTCTGCTGACCAGATGTTTAATATAAAACCTTTCTGAATGTATTCGAAGGTAAATGGTCAGTGTGCTGGACACACGGCCTTACAAGCTGCAAGCCAGAATGGACATGTAGACATTTTGAAGTTACTTCTCAAGCATAATGTTGATGTGGAAGCTGAGGTAATGTTTTTTTAAAGATACTATTACATTTTTTATTTTGTATATTTTTTAAATTTTCAAATGTACCATTTGTTAATCATTATTTTTTCAATATCATACTCTATAGTACAAGGAGCATCAATTGAAATTGGTTTGTTAGAGGATGCTAGGCTTTCCTATATTAAATCTTAGCACTGCCTGGATGCTTGCTGGCAGCATTTATCAATTGGCTAAGACCTCATAAATTTCTGCTAGGAGAGGGGGATGGGGGGTGTTTCCTCGGTACATAATGCTCATCTTTTTTGCTATTCAGCTTTGTTTCTTAAAGTGTTTAACATGTTATTGTAACTGTAAGTCATTTTCAGATCTGCAGCTTGAATTAAAGTTTTAGTTTAAGAAATGATAGCTGTTTAAATGGTTCCTCTCAGCATTGTCCATCTAGGACAGCAATGGCGAACTTATGGCACGCGAGCCATATGCTTGTTTCATTGCTGTTATCGGTCAAAGTGACGGATAATAAACACTGTGCAAATTACAGCCATTTCTTAAGGAACGGGACGAAATTTGCACAGCGGGTGCCGCTGTCTGGCTGACATCCATTGATTAGCTGATCAAAGGAGGCGGTCAGAAGCCGAATAGCCATTGAACTGCCCACCCTGTTCAGGCCGGTGGCCACTCTCAGAATACAAAGAAAACGGCAGAAGAGCTAGTGCTTCCCCTGCTATCTGCTGATTCCCCTGCTATCTTTTTTTTATTTTGACAGCATTCTCCTTCAGGTCCTCCACTGTTGATTGACAGCAGCAGTGGGCGGGTGCAATAGCCAGCCTGCAATTTCCTGATTGGGCCAGCTTCTGGACCGATCAGGAAGCCGGGCAACGCGTCATTACATTTCTCCAAGTCAGCTCCTCTGCTGATTGACAGCAGGCAGTGGGTGGGTGCAATAGCCACCCTGCTATTGCAATTTGGAATAGCCAATAGCAGGCTGGCTATTGATTCCCTTACTATTTGTGTTTTTTTATTCTTGTATTCTGACAGCGGCTGGCGGCTAAAAACAACAGGTGGCTATGGGTTGACCCATCTCAGGCGACTGCCTGCGGTTTACAGAATATCAGTACCTGATATTGGTTATCGGCCTGAAAGGTGGCCCATAATCTGTACTGGTGCCGAAAAAAACCATATTGGTCGACCTCTAGTACAGTACAGGTTGGCACTTTGAGATACATAAGTTGGTTTAGTGATCCAGTTTGGGCACTCCGGCTCAAATAGGTTTGCCATCACTGATCTAAGGCTTATAGAACTGCCATGTGATGAATCTCTGAACTTCAGTTCCACCAACCTAACTTGTATTGTAACAGTATTTTGTTTCTGCCACATTCTGTAATATTTATATAGCATGCTTGCTTCCTGTTTCAGGCTGACAACGCTAATCTGCTGCTTTGCAATTAGCAGCCATATTGTCAGTCTCCATGGCACACTCCTTAAAGCCTCATTCACACGAGAAACGGCCGGCACGTACAGCTCCATGCATGGCCGTATCAGGCAGCTCCCGGGAAGGACAGGTGCTTAGTGTGATTAGTACGCAGCCCCTGCCATTCTCTATGGGACTATGCCGCCCTACACTCACCCGTCCTGCACGTCGGTGCGGGTGTCCGTACTCGTACGCTGACAGGATGGATTCTGTCTGCGTCCGAGCCGGGACACCCGCACCCTTTATGGACGTGCAGGAGGGTGAGCGTAGGGCGGCGTACGGCCGCATAGTCCCATAGAGAATGATGGGCTGCGTACTAATCACACACAGCACCTGTCCTTCCCGGGAGCTGCCCGATGCGGCCGTGCATACAGCACTGGTCGGCTCAGTAGATCAGGAAGTGAGCGAACACATACCGTCGCTCGCTCACTTCTCAATCTATCCGTGCAGAGAGCCGTGACTGTCACGGCTCCCTGCAGGGATTCCTTCCCTACCCTGTCCGATTCTCCAGCGTTGACTGGTGGAACGGATGGGGGAGGGGGCGGGTACAGCTGGCTCTGCCTCTAGATAGGCAGAGCCAGCTGTCACTCACTCACCCGGGTGGATCCAGACAGAATTGTCGGGATCCGTTCCGGCTGCGGCGTCTCAGTATACCGCGAGCTGTAGCTCGCAGTATACTGAGCTTAGGGTGATGGGAGAACGCTAGTTTGTGTCCTCCCGTTACCCGTTAGGAGAACTATGGGGAAAAGCCCTGACCCCATAGTTCTCCTTTTTAAAGTTCTTTGCTTTAATATGTTCTGTTTTCTGAATTGGGTAGCCTGGTGTATGCTAACATTCTTTATAATTTCTATAGGATAAAGATGGCGACCGTGCGGTTCATCATGCAGCATTTGGAGACGAAGGTTCTGTGATTGAGGTGCTACATAGAGGTGGTGCAGATTTAAATGCACGTAACAAGCGCAGGCAGACACCGCTACACATTGCTGTTAATAAAGGCCACTTGCAAGTTGTTAAAACTTTACTGGAGTTTGGCTGTCATCCTAGTCTTCAGGTAAAGTCCTTTCCTTCCTTATAACATTTTTATAATACTAATTCCTGAGTCTTACTAACTTTACAGTGCTTTACGTATTTGCATTTTGGGCTTTGCCCTTGTTCTCTTTATTTTACTACAGCTTTGATTATCTGTCATGTTTTATTTAGGATACAAGGGTCATTGCTTAGAATATTCTGCAATTGTTCTTCATTGGTTGGGTTGCACATCAGTGTGGCTGATAACATGCCAAAATAAAGATACTTTTAGGATTACTAATGTTATAGGTTTAGTGAGGGAGTCTGGCCAATGCCATAAAAAAAGGGGGAGGAGAGAATAGTCGGGCAGCTTGAAATTTCAGAGCTGTAATAAGGGCAGATTTTTGATCAGTTTACAACTAGTATGATCAATGCACAATAAGAGGGGTTGTCTCAGATTAAAACTAGTATGATCAATGCACACTGAGAGGGGTAGTCTCAGATTAAAACTAGTATGATCAATGTACACTGAGAGGGGTAGTCTCAGATTAAAACTAGTATGATCATTGCACACTGAGAGGGGTAGTCTCAGATTAAAACTAGTATATTGTTCAGTCTGTTGGGTAGTAGTCCTTTCCACTTGTATACTTACTACACAAGTTTTAAAGCGGGCTTTGCATAAACATACAAGATTTGCTTTAACCACTTAAAGACCGGGGTGTTTACACCCCCTTTCTAGGCAGGCCATTTTTCAGTATTAAGAGCTGCGGTACTTTGACTGACATTTATTCCGTCATGCAACGCTGTACTGAAATGAATTTTATACCATTTGTTGGGGACAGATAGAGCTTTCTTTTGGTAGCATTTAATCACCACTGCGTTTTTATTTTTTACTATATAACGGAAAAAGTACTGAAAATGTTGAAGGGGGGAAAAAAAACAGTTTTCCCTACTTTATGAAACATTTATTATTACCCACATTTATGGTAAAATATGAAAGACGGGATCACATCGGGCAAATGGACACTGAACATGTCAATGTCTGTAGCAGCCCAAATGCTTGTATGTAAACAGCCTTTGCCGGCTGTTTAAAATACAAGCATTTTTCCCGCTCGTGCATGCACTGGGCGGCGCGAGGATGGTTTAAAACGCCCAATGTACTGGGCTCCAGTACATTGCCGGAGCACCCAAATTTCCCCGGGAGACAGTGGTTAGGCATTATGGAATCACTGTCACCTCAGGAAGTGAAAGGAAGCCAGTGCCCAAGGTATGTGTTTTTAAGAACGTTTGTTTTAATATTATTTGCGCAAAATTAACGTTCAGATATTTACGGGGCAAAGGACCCTGCAAATTGTTTATAAACAGTAAAATAGAGAGTCCCACCGCACTCCTGACCGAGAAGCAGCATGGTGATCTGACCTGCATGAATGAATAAAAGGATTTAGTTTTGAAGAAAACCTGGAGTGCTGGTGACCATTTTTCTGTTTTGTTTATAAACAGACCCATTTCAAACCTCTAAGGATTCATCCTTCTCATGGGTTTACTATCCAGTGGCTTGCAGAGCTGGTATGGAGGTTGGGGCTCTTTACATTAGTGGCCACATGCTTGATCACGTTAAGTGACTCAATAAGCAGGTTCGAATGATGGCCACAGGGGCAGCACCTTTTATAAATAGGTCAGTAATAAGAACTCTCCCATTTCTATACTATCAGGGGCTCTTTAAATCCCAACTTCACTTTTTTCTATTTTTTTTTTTTTTTAAACTTTGACATCATCCAACCCACTTTCTGTGAGATATCAAACCATCATGGACTGGGGCAAATTATCACACCATAGGATTAAAAAAAACATTCTTTGTTCATGGTGGGGGGGGTTATGTTGGGCTTCAGGGTAGATTTTTAGTTGGATCTAAGAGGTGAATCCACAACTTGTACTGCATGACAGGCACCTCCTGCTGTCTGCGTGTCAGAAGCTTTTTCCTGTAGAGCACCCAGCTCCCACAAATGCAGGGTTGCTTTGATATGCGAGTAGCGTCCACCATCTATGGTAAATAGTCCTGCACTTTTGTGCCTCACTATGGCCTTACCAGCAACCTCAGGGGTGGTCACTATTTGCTTCTCAGAAATCCTTGATATTTAGGGCTCTCTGGGTTACTACAAGTAGAGGGATCTGACATGTAGGCACCCAGAGGTACCTGTTATTCTCTGAGGGTCAGTTTACCTTTATTCTGACCACCTGCTTTCTTTACTCTCTTGCAAACTCTGTTCATTTAAAATGTAAAACTTCTCTCTCCCTCTCTCACTCCCTCTCTCTCTCCCTCTCTCACTCCCTCTCTCTCTCTTCCCCTCTCTCTTCCCCTCTCTCTTCCCCTCTCTCTTTCCCTCTCTCCCTCTCTCTCTCCCAGGGCCGGATTTCCCACAAGGCCAACCAAGGCCCGTCCTTGGGGAAGACCATATAATCAGAATAGGAAGTGAGGTGATCTCTTTCTAATGAAACACATACTGAAATAAAACCTTGAAAGATGTGGATAGCCCTTCCCTATTCTATCCAGAAGTTTAAAAAAAATTGTTCACGGACTTTGCGTCTGTGTGTGATCCTTTTTTTTGTAATGCTTGAAAATGATTGCAGACCAATACTGTTTTCATAAAGAGCAAGTTATCTAAACCTCAGTCATATTAATGCTAAAAAAATAATGGTGCTGTGTCCACTGACATACTTTTCTCCTTCAGTCACAGGAATTTGTTTGACTTTCAGTGTTGATCAGCTGACCATGGACGAGGGATTGGTCAAATGGTTTCTGCCAAAGGGGTTCTGGCAGAGCAACTGCTTGGCCATCTACCTCTGAGCATCATTCTACTAGCTCTTTAAGCAGAACTCTTGTGACCCATGCTGTGTAATTAGTCAGGTGATTGGTACTGGTGGATAAAAAAAAATCTGATCATTCAGGGCTTGTTCACGCCATCTCCAGACCAGATCTGAATGTGTTTCTGCATATGCCTTTATGCACATTTGTTATGCGTTTTTGACATGTTTGATGCATTCCGGTGTTTTGTTTTTTTTGGGTTCTCAGTTTGTTTTGCTTGGGTTTTAAGCATGTTCTGATGTGTTTACATGCGGTTTTGTGCGTTCCAGTGCCAAAAAATGCAGCATGCTGTACCTTATTTATTTTCTTAAATCTCTGCAACTGAACACAGTGGTGTGAACCAGACTCATTTAAAACCATTAGATCTACTGTGTATGCATTTTTGGTGCAGATAAAAAAACATTGTGGTCTAGAGATGGTGTGAACAGTCCCTCAAGGAGAAAGTGAAGTGTTTCTAAAGTCTACATAGCACTTTATTATGGACACTAATTATTCATTTTCAATAGTGTCATGATCTCCTACAGCGCTGGGTGAATAAGCTAGGTCAGGGGTCAGCAACCTTAAACACTCAGAGAGCCATTTGGGCCCGTTTCCCACAGAAAAGAAAACACTGGGAGCCACAAAACCCTTTTGACATCTAAAATGAAGATAACACCGCATATATAGTTTTTTACCTTTCTGCTATGCATAGCATGTATACAGGTATATGTGGGCTTAGTAACGCACTGGACTCTGGGCTTAGTAACGCACTGGACTCTGGGCTTACCCGACACCCTGCAGAGCCCATCTGAGAGTGACACTGCAGAGCACACCATAGATCCTGCACAGCCCATCTGAGACTCTCTATGGTGGGCTCTGCAGGACCTCGGGTGGGATGGTCGCCAGGGTCCCTTTCCCTCTATCTCCTCCCAACTCCTCTTACCTGCTGCTGCTGCTGGGGCCTGGCCTCCTCCACCCCCTCCCCTGTCACCTCTGTGACTACGTTACAATGTGTGACCGGATTATGTGATCACACATTTCAATGTAATCTCGCCCAGTTTTTTGGCGGTGGAATGTGTGACCGCCAATAGGTCAAGCATTCCAACGCTTTCTCAGGGCAGATCGGCATCGCAAATCGTATGTGCAGGAGAACTGATCTGGCCCGGAACAGTGGTTCAGTCCTGAAATGTCACTTCTATCCAACTCTGTGAGTGCGATCTCATATTCCACCCCACTCGCAAAGTTAAATAGAAGTGACATTTCAGGACCAAACAGCTGTTCCAGGGCAGATCAGTTCTCCCTCACATACGATTTGCGATGCCGATCTGCCCTGGAACAGCTGTGAAAGCGTGGGAATGCTTGACCTATTGGTGGTCACACATTCCACCGCCAAAAAACTGGGCGGGATTACATTGAAATGTGTGACCACGTCACCGGTCACGCATTCCAACCTAGTCACAAACTTTGATAGAACAGCGGCCCTGTCTAATCAATTAATCAGAGAAATAGATTATAACTGGCAACATTACAGTGTAATGTTCCCCATTATAATCCACTTTTCTAATTAAACTTCTCTCCCGCCGGCTGTTACTAGGGACGTGGCCGGGAGAGGAGGTGAGTCACAGGACCCACCCCCTTGCTGAGAAGCCCGTTAATAGTGCGGGGCACCGGAACCCTGCACTGCCGCATATTCCAACCGGGGGGGACACCAAGGACCGGACCTCACTGGGCCCCCCACAGCCTCAGGCCCCGGTGGTATTTCCGCCCCTGCACAGGGAGCCGCAGCAGAGGGATGAAAGAGCCACATGCGGCAGGTTGCTGACCCCTGAGTTACGTAATACAAGCAAAGTTTCCAGTGACATACCTATAGTAATGTACAGCAGTTACAGTGGAGAGTGAGAACCCATCTATAGACAATTACTCCTAGAATGTGATTTGAATAACCGTTGTACGCAGACACACGAGGTCCTGTTCTCACCCTCATTTTTACGGCTTTATAAATCTAACGGAGCATTGCCTGCAATCATTGAAGAAATGATTGTGCTTGGTAGAAATGGTTGTACGGTGACCACATCTGAAGACAGATTTGGTCATCAGTGGTGCTGACTGGATAATAAGAATGTGACCATAGGACCAAAACATTTTATTTTTATGTACAGCTAGCTATAGGGAAAATGTTGAAAGTAATAGAATGTTTTAAATAAAAAAATCTAGCTGTGTTTTCCTGAACTTTAGATAACTTGATTATTATTAGTGTACTGAATCTGTACGTAATGAAAATGTGTGTGTGGTTTGCAGGACTCTGAAGGTGATACTCCCCTCCATGATGCTATAAGCAAAAAACGGGATGATATCCTAGCTGTGTTGTTAGAAGCTGGAGCGGATGTTACCATTACCAATAACAATGGATTTAATGCCCTTCATCATGCGGCTCTAAGAGGAAATCCCAGGTAATGTCCTAATCTTACTTTATTACTAAGCTGATTTTCCATAACTTTTATTTTTAGTATGAGAAAGACTCTAATACACTGGCTCGGGTAAGCTGAACACTGGCAGAGTAGACCGGAAGTACTAATGGTGGTTTCCATATGTTGAGTTGCATGAGCTAGCTGTAATTACCAGCAGAGACCGCATTCATCTACAGATCCCAGTTTGCAACTTGCCAGTGTAATGTATAAATAGATGTTGATAGGCTAAGAGCATAGCTTTTATACACACTGCCTGTCCTAGGATGGCAACACTCACTGTATTGTATTTTTGTAGGAGTAGTGTTGTCATCCTTGGACAGAAATTATTAGGACTACAGAACACCCCCCTCTGTTTCATAACATAGGGGGCAGTAGTCCACAGTTAGTACACAGAAGAGAACTGGGCAGGACCAACAATACTGCAGGAGATTACAGTTCAAAACAGGCATGAAGCAAAGGAATTGAGCTCACTGGATTTCTGGCAGGATTATTGGTGTTTATCCTGAGATAACACATGGGGAAATGTAGATGTACCGATTGTTTTTCCCCTTAATTTTGCCCTGACATACACTTTAAAGTTGAGAATTAGTTTGCTGTGTATACCAGGAATTGCAAACATTTTTCTTAAAGCCACTTTGGTACGTAAACATGGTTATTATATATTTGGACAGTTTGCCTTATGTTGTGATGGTGTTTCTTGTGTGTTAACAAGTAGCCTATGTTGGTGTTATGACTCTACAGCTGATAAGGTGGATTGGAATTGAAGTATTGAAAACCATTTAAAGTGAACATGTTCTGTCTGCCAATGTGTATAAACTAGCTTAAATGATAAAAGTCTAGACGCCTTGTGTCCTCCTTCATACCAGGAAGTACATGCATTAGTCACACACCATATATTGAGTAAAGCCGCTTCAGCGATAACGGTACTGATGCAATCCCTTGGATGGTGCGTCAATGTTGCAAACCGGTATATAGCACCAACACATTGAGAGGAATTTATCAAAACTGGAGCAGCTGGGCATGGCAACCAATCAGCTTCTCTTTCATTTTCAAATCTTAACTGAGGAAACTGATTGGTTGCCCTTGGCAACTGCTCCCGTTGTGAAAAATCCCCTCCTTTGTGTTTTCTTCACAAAGGATATTTACCTTGATTTAACATAAAAAGCCAATGTTTTAGAAGTACATGGGGACCCTTCACTTTATGCTTTTTTGATAAAGGGGCCATTTTTGGCTTAGGAACTATTGGCTTTCAATGGTAACCAGTGATATTGCACATTTATATATTTCACAAAAAAGAAAGTGTTCTGGCTATGTACTGTATACCTGTCTTCATATCAGGAAAGGAAATCCTGGCTGTATATAGGGCTTTGACGTCTGTCCATGTCGATATTAACCACTTTTGGGCCGCAATATGTACATATACTGCTTCTCCAGCCGTGTTCTTGCTGTCATTTTAAACAGCCAGCGATGGCTGTTCAGGTACAACCGATCCGGTGTCTATACAGCCGCCGGAACGTTTGTACTGGTTGGCGGCATGTGCTGCCCCCGCCCCCTCCCCCACTGCAAGATTCCCAGGGGTTATGAAGACCCCTAATGTCTTCATAAAGAGGACCTGCCACATTATGTTTGCTATTACATGGAGGGCTTGTTAGTGCCCTATGTAATGGCAATAAAGTTAGGGTAAAAAAAAGTGTTTAACCACCTCCCGGCCGGCCATTGTAAAAAAAACAGCCGGCCGGGAGCTCCTCTGGATCTGAGCGGGCACTTTTAAACGTCCGCTCAGCCATGCCCACTCGCGTGAAGGTGCCCAAATGTAAAAACGGCACCGATGCCTGTTTACATACAAGAGCCGGCGGATCGCTTGTATGAGGTGCTGGTATGTGCGCTCCCCTCCCGGTGTCCCGCTGGTCCCGGCCTCCGCTGAGCCCGGGACCAGCATGGTGGCTCTCTGAGAGGGTATTAGAGGGAGATCGGTACACGATCTCCCTCCGGTCCCCTCTCTGCTGTCAGAATGCGGATCAGCTTCAAAAGGGGGGTCCTAGGTGACATTAGTGGTCTTGAAGACCCCTGATGTCTCCATAAAGAGGACCTGTCACATCCTCTATTGCTATCACATAGGGGGATTTCTTAGTCCCCTATGTGATAGCAATAAAGTTAAGTGAAAAAAATAGGGAAAAGAAAATTAAAGTTGCAAAAATGTTTTAACGTTACACATGAAAAAGAATTTAAGCAAAACACAATTTTTTAAAAAGTGCGCATACGTGCGAAAACGATGATTGCACCCATTACGACACACATGCTACATATCGCCGCGAACATCGCAGTAAGAGCACTGATGACGCTAAACTGATGAGCGGCAAAAGCTTTTAAAGCGTTGCCTATGGTCAATTTTGGGTATGGTAGTTTTTTGCGATTTCGCGGGTGCCAACAATTTTAAAGCTTGACAATGTTTGGTGTCTATTTACCCGATGTGACCCGATCTTTTATATTTTACCAAAAAATTGGGTAATAAATGTTTTATAACAATGTCAAAAAAACATTTTTTTCAAAATTTTCTGTCATTTTTCCTTAAAGGAGAACTATGAGGGGGGGTGCTTTTCACTCACCTCATAGTTCTAGCCGACCTGTGACTGTCACAGGTCGGCTCAGTAGATCGGGCGGTGAGCGAACACATAACGGCGCTCGCTCACTTTGCGATCCTGTCGCGGCTCTCTGCCGTGACAGGGGGAGGGGCTGTATTCCCCCCTCCCCGCTCTGATTCTCCAGCGCTGACTGGCGGAACGAACTGGGGAGGTGGCGGGTACAGCTGGCTCTGCCTCTAGATAGGCAGAGCCAGCTGTCAATCACGCAGTTGGGTGGATCCAGACATAATTGTCGGGATCCACTTCAGCTGCGCAGCGTCTCTGTATACCGCGAGCTGCAGCTCCCGGTATACTGAGCTTAGGGTGACGGGAGGACGCTAGTTTGTGTCCTCCCGTTACCCTAAGGAGAACTATGGGGAAAAGCCCTAACCCAATAGTTCTCCTTTAATATAGTAAAAAAATAAAACCCCCAGTGGTGATTAAATACCACCAAAAAGCTCTATTTGTCCCCAAAAAATGGTATAAAATTAATTTCAGTACAGCGTTTTATGATGGAATGTCAAAGTACTGCAGCGCTAAATACTGAAAAATGGCCTGGACAGGAAGGGGGTCTAAACACCTGGTCAGCAAGCAGTTAAAAAATAAAAAAAAATTAAAGTAACATTAAAAAAATGCAAAAAAAGATGTTTTTAAAGTCCCCCGCCCCTCCACGTGCACGCACATATGCATACACACGCCAGTGCGCCTACGTGTAAAAACGAAAATCGCGCTACACATGTTACCTATCGCCACTAACATTGGACTGAGAAAAATAATTCTGGAGCCATTAATCACTGTTGGCACTAAACTGATGAGCGGTAAAAGCTTTTAAAGTGTCCTCTATGGGAAATTTTGGGTGTTGAGGTTTTTTTGCGGCTTCACGTGCATACACCATTTTAAGGCTTGACATGTTTGGTATCTATTTACATGATGTGACCCCCATCTTTCATATTTTACCAAAAAAATTTGCATTTTCTGTTTGTGCACTAAATTTCATTTGTGTATTTTATCCTAAAAATACTGGTTTGATAAACATTTGAGGAAATATCTTGCGACATAAAAAATTGCAACTAGCATTTTTTTATTCTACGGGGCCTCTGCTTTCAGAAACTATATAATTGTTTGGGGGGTCTGAAGCTGTTTATTGCGTGCAAATAGTAAGAAACTGCTCTGGACAGCAAGTGGTTAACCCTGTCCACACTGACATTTAACTGTCAGATATTAGAGCTTGACCTCTCCACCCCTAGATGTATGGGCATCACTCCAGCTCAGATACTTGAATCTGTACACGGAGATAACTTTCTTCTGTCCACCACCCCATTTATGGATCTCTATAAAGATCACACCCCTACGACACACTCACTCTCTCTTACGCTCAGCTCCAAATTGTACAGAGGGATTTGTGCCCCTGTACATATCACAAACTGGGAACCAAGCTAAAAACTTTGAGGGTTATTCACAAAGCTAGCCGAAGGATCAGCCCTAGCTCTGGCTGATGCTTTGGCTAGCTTCGGCCGCCAGAGCCCTTTGGTTCAGTAGAACCAAAGGGCTGCTGTACGGGCTAATCACTATCTCCTGTACAGCTCCTGAAGCTAGCCGAGCCGAAGGCATATGCTTTGGTTTGACTGAGCCGAAGCGGGGCGGGCCGAAAGCCTCGCAACTGACAGCTGGGTGGACCCAGCTGCGATCTCACGGCTGGCTGCGCCCATTTGCAATAACAGTTCAGTGTCCCCAGGTTATCTGGGGACTAAACTGTCATTAAAGAAGAACTATGAGGTGAGTGCTTTTCACTCACCTCAAGGTTGTAGCCGACCTGTGACAATGAGACTGTCACAGGTCGGCTCAGTAGATCGGGAAGTGTGCTTACAAATACCGGCGTTCGCTCACGTCCCGATCCTGTCGCAGCTCTCTGCCGTGACAGGGGAGGGGTTGGAATCCCCTCTCCGATCCGCCAGCGCTGACTGGCAGATCGGACAGGGGAGGGGGCAGGTACAGCTGGCTCTGCCTCTAGATAGGCAGAGCCAGCTGTCACTCACGCAGCTGGGCGGATCCAGACATAATTGTCGGGATCCGCTTCAGCTGTGGCGTCTCAGTATACCGCGAGCTGTAGCTCGCGGTATACTGAGCTTAGGGTGGCGGGAGGACGCTAGTTTGTGTCCTCCTGTTACCCGAAGGAGAACTATGGGGAAAAGCCCTAACCCCATAGTTCTCCTTTAAACAATGAAAACTTGGCAGAGCCGGCCGTTACGTCTCTGCCCAGTTGTTATTCATTGGCTGGGACCTTCTAGAAGACTCTAGCAGGTCCCGACCAATAGAAAATAGTTGGGCAGAGCTAGCTGTCACTGCTAGCTCCGTCCAATT